TTTCTTTCTTTCTTTCTTTCTTTCTTTCTTTTAAACAGGGTTTTTTTGTGTAGCCTTGGCTGTCCCGGATTCCCTTTGTAGACCAGGCTGGCCTCCAGCAACACCGTGCTTAGCTTCTAAAACTTTTCTTTTTCTTTCTTTTCTTTTTAGTTTTTGTTGTTGTTGTTCTTTGTTTTGTTTTTTGAGACAGGGTTTCTCTGTGTAGCCATGGCTGTCCTGGACTCCCTTTGTAGATCAAGCTGGCCTCGAACTCACAGCAATCCGCCAGTTCCTGCTTCCCTGAGATTACAGGCGTGTGCCACTGCACCCAGTTCTAAAACTGTTCTTAAAGTACAAATGTTGGGGCTGGAGAGATGGCTCAGAGGTTAAGAGCACTCACTGGCTGTTCTTCCAAAGCTCCTGAGTTGAATTCCCAGCAACCACATGGTGGCTCATAACCATCTATCATGAGATCTGGCGCCCTCTGCTGGTGTGCAGGCACACATGCAAGTAAAATGCCATATAAACAAGAAATAAATCTTTTTAAAAAATTGTCTCTGGTTTTAAAAAATATATAGATATTGTCTCAAAAAATCTATAAGATCATTATGTACACACGAACTTTCTGTCATGATACTAGCAGTCATATTGAATACTAACTAATTCTAGAAATAGGTGTCAGCTAGATTTCTGTATGCGTTTTCAGGTTTGGTCTGAGGCCGGTAACTAGGAACTAAGTTGTGTACCTCGTATGTACATACTAGATTGTGGTCCTCAAACCTTTTGGAGATCTTCTGAATGCGGCATTTAAAATGTTTACGTTTTCTACAATAAGCCATGACCGTTCCTAACTGTAACCTTTTGAGGTCTCCAAGCAGCTGATGGGTCCCTGCAACAAAGAATCCACCTGGAATAACTGGGAGCAAGGCAGAAGGGGAAGATCAGCTGGGCGCTTTCTCTACCTCTCTGAGCTAGTAGGCTTTCACCCCAGCATCTGGCTCTCTAAAATCGAAGAACTGAGATTTTATTCAAAGGAACAGGTCCTAGACTCTGGTTCTCAACCTTCCTATTGCTTGGACAGTTCCTCGTGTTGTGTTGACCCTCAACCATAGAATTATTTTGTTTCTAATTCACACGTGTAATTTTGCTATTGTTATTGATCTAATGGAAATATTTTTGGAGATAGCGGTTTTCTTGAGGCTCGCGACCCACCTGTTGAGAACTGTTATCCTAGACGGTTTCCACAGGAAGCCTGACTGCACCTCTGCATTCAAAGTTCTAGATTCCAGCAGGGAGCACGATCGATCAGTCCCTAAAGTTTTCCCCAAAATTCCTGCCTTAGAATGCACTGCGCAGTGACAGGGCAGGTCTGGGGTTGCAGGGGTCTGAAAGAGTGAGTTTCCATGCCCTACACCCACCTCGCTGCTGCTGGAAACCTGACAGGAGGTGGCAGTCAGGGTCTCTGGGAACTCCTACTGGCTGGCGGGGAGGGGCGGAGCCCGAGCCGCCGCCCGCCCGGAAGCGCGCCGGCGGGAAGCCGGCGTGGAGCGCGCCTGTACTGGCGCGGAGACCAGCGTGGCAGGTACTCAGTGGGCGGCGGGAAGTTTGCTGCAGAGGCGGGATCAAAGCGACTCCACGCCGACTGAGACCCTCTCTGCGTCCCCCATATGACGGAGGTGTGAACTGGGAATTGTGGCGCAAGAGCGTCTTCTAGGGGCCGCGATGTGAGATCCTAGCCCTGGTACCCCAAAGTCCTCTTGGCTTCCTGTCACACTGTTTACCGACCCTCTCGGGTACAGCAACGCCTGCAGTGGGAAAGGGTTCGGGTCCTCCCCAAGCTGATGGGTGTGAAGGTTATAAGTGGGCCCTTACTACAAGAGCCCTGTAGGTGGGGTCAGGGGTCACGTGGCCAGATTCCAGAATTGAGACAGAAAACCTACCCTTGTCTTAGATTTATCAGGGTTCTCCAGGGTGTGCTGTTCACAGATTCTCCCTGCCTAGTGCCCCTCCCCAGGCGCCAGGATCTAGTTCTCCTTAATAGCACGGGTGCAGGCCGTAGGGCCGCAGTAACCACTCCGCTCTGTACCCCTCCTGCCCTGGGTTCTTGGGCCGGTGGTTTCAGGAGCTCCCCTATTTCCAAGCGGAGCTATTGTTGCTCTGACCTGGAGGAGGAGCTGGTCCCCTACAGCCCATTCCTCCCCCTGCTTCTGCAGCTTCCCTCAGCCTTGCCTGAGCAGGCTTGCTCTGCAAGCTGGGACATGTCCGGTCCCCAAGGACCTTCCGTGGGTGATGGCTGCAGTGTTGGAGGGGCTGGAGCCAGAGGAAACTGCAGCTGCTGCGGAGGATGCTGCGAGACCCGCTGTGGAGGCTTCGGAGTCCAGGCCTGGTGCACCGTTTCTCCTGGTTGGGAACCAGTTGAACTTGGACCTACGCCCTGGGGGCTGCCATCACCTGCAGTACCTCTGTTCCCAGAAGCCCCCACAACTGCTGCTGGTGGAGTTCTTGCGGCTCAGCACCCACGAGGACCCTCAACTGCTAGATGACACCCTAGCTCAGGTTCCATGGAATCTGTTGCGCCTTCGTTCCCTGGTCCTTAAAGGTGAGTACCCTTGCTCCTGATCCTGTCCTCATCTCTAGCCATGCTTTGACTCTACATCTTGGTCACAAAAGCCATCTTTGTCCTAGCCCTACCTTCAAACCTTTCCTCTCCCTGCACCTTCCTCCCCAAAGTGAGGCTGGGTGGGCTCTTATTTCCTGAGCTTAGGACCCTGAAGGTGCCCAGCTGGGTCTCTTTGCAGATCCCAGTTATTCCTGGGGAATACCATCAGCTGATAGAATTGGTGGTCTTCTCTGTCTGCGCTCCTGTCTTTCTCTGCCCTTCCGGCTGGCTTAAAAGGGAGGTTTCCTGCCTGGTGCTTTCTCTGTCACTCAGGGCTGAACGCAGACTCCAACTCTGAGGGTTACAGCTGTCTCTTCCAGGCGGCCAGAGTCGGGGTGCCCTGGGTGCCTGCCTCCATGGGACCTTGACCACTCTGCCTCCTGGCCTGAGTGAGTTAGCCTGCCTGGCCCACCTGGACCTGAGCTTCAACAGGCTGGAGACCCTGCCGACCTGTGTCCTGGAACTGCTCAGCCTGGATGCGTTGCTGCTTTCCCACAACTGTCTCTCAGAGCTGCCCGAGGCCCTGGGGGCCCTGCACACCCTTACCTTCCTTACTGTGACACACAACTGCCTGCAAAGGCTCCCCGCAACACTGGGGTCCCTGTCCAACCTTCAGCGTCTTGATCTCTCTGAGAACCTTCTCGACACCATACCCTATGAGATTGGAGACCTGAGGAGCCTCAGGGAACTCAATCTAGCCTCCAACCGGCTGCAGTATCTCCCAGCTTCCCTTGGTGAGTAGCCATGGTCCTAGTTTTGGTCCACCAGCCAATATCAAGTGAGTGCCCCTCAGCCACTGCCGAGAACTCCACTCCCATGTGGCCACCTACAGCCCCGAAGTCTTGGCACTCTCGGCTCAACCCCTTTTCTTACACAAAGGCCCCTGTACCTGAGACCTGGCTTGTGAACCTTCACTGCTCCAAAATGGCCCCCTAACTTCCCTTCTCCCTCCTTGGTTGCCTGTAGTCCACATGCATCATTGTCTCACCATGTGGTAGGGCCTGAGGCCTTTAGTGTGAGTGTCTTGTCAAGGTGCCCAGGGCCACCACGAGTGGCCCTCTGCCAACCCTAAGCCAGCACTTGCCTGCAGCGGGGCTGCGGTCCCTGCGGCTCCTTGTTCTGCACAGCAACCTCCTGACCTCCGTGCCCGCTGGTTTGGCCCACCTGCCACTGATCGATCGGCTCGACCTGAGGGACAACCAGCTCCGTGACCTGCCTGCTGAGCTGCTGGACGCTCCCTTTGTGCGCCTGCAGGGGAACCCTCTGGGTGAGGCCTCTCCAGTGCCCCCAAGTCCCCCAGGTAGGCATGGCATGGGGCATGGCCAGCCTATGAGAGGATGAAGGTACATCACCATTTTGACCACATACCTGTCCCTTGTGCAGACATAGCCCAGATGCCAGAAATGCCCAAGCTCTTCCTGACCTCAGATTTGGACAGGTATTAGTGGGAAGGTGGCTAGCGGACATCTGTCTACCCTGTCTCCCTGGCCACACTGGCGCACCTTGTCTGTCTGCCCTCATACCTCTTTCCTCACTCAGCTTCCTTGTGACTCCCCATGGCTGTTCTGTGACCCTGGCCTGTGGTGTCCGCCTGCAGTTCCCAGCAGGAGCCACCACCACACCCATCACCATCCACTATCGACTGTGGTTGCCCGAGCCAGGCCTGGTCTCTCTGGGGCCTCATGACTTCCTGCTCAGTGGTGTCCTGGAGCTGCAGCCTCATGGGGTGGCTTTCCAGCAGGCAGGTCCCGGATGGGTAGGGGGCAGGTGGTAGCCTTGGCAGCCTTGGCCTGGCCCTATCTTACACACTACCGTTGCCTGCCTGACAGGATGTGAGCTTATGGCTACTCTTTGTCCCTCCACGAGTCCGTCGCTGCCGTGAAGTGGTTGTGAGGACACGGAGTGACAACAGCTGGAATGACTTAGAGACCCATCTGGAGGAAGAGGCACCCAAGGTGACAGCTAACTAGGTCCTTGGGAATGAGGAAATGGGAGCAGCTTGCCCTGACACCACCCACCCCTGCCCATTGTCTTCTGCCCTGACCCTATCCTCCCAAATGTTCCAGAGGCTCTGGGCTCGCTGCCAGGTACCCCACTTCTCCTGGTTCCTTGTTGTTTTGCGTCCAGTTTCCAACGCTTGTCTGTTGCCACCAGAGGGAGCACTCCTGTGCTCCTCAGGTCACCCTGGGGTCAAAGTCACTTTCCCCCCTGGGGCCACAGAGGAGCCTCGGCAAGTCTCCATGCAGGTATGGTAGGGCAGTGCCGAGGGTGGCAGGAGGCACCTGGGCATACGGGAGGGCACTCAGTTGGTTCTCCGTCCAGGTGGTACACATGGCCGGACTAGAGCTGAGAGCGCTCCTGGAAGAAGCTGAGGCATCAGTAAGCCCCCTGCTGTGCCTTTCACAGAGCGGCCCTCCCAGCTTCCTGCAGCCAGTCACTGTGCAGTTACCCTTGCCTGCTGGCGTCACAGGTGATGCTGCGTGGGACAGGACCGAAGATGGGTGCTTGGAAGGGGAAACGGCGTTTATGGGGGCGCTTTAGCCTTCTGCCATTTCCTGCCTAGGCTTCAGTCTGGACCGCTCCCACCTGCATCTGCTGTACCGAACGCCCCTGACAGCCACCTGGGACGATATCACCACTCAGGTGGCACTGGAGCTCACTCACCTGTATGCACGCTTCCGGGTCACGCACTTCTCCTGGTCAGTGTCCCCTAGCTTCCTCGGCACCCCTTCCGCCCTTCGTCTGTATGGACACACCTCAACTCTGGCACTTCCAGGTACTGGCTCTGGTATACCACCAAAAACTGTGTGGGGGGCCTGGCACGGAAGGCCTGGGAACGGCTGCGACTGCACCGCGTGAACCTCATTGCGCTGCAGAGGCGCCGAGACCCTGAGCAGGTCCTGCTGCAGTGCCTGCCCCGAAACAAGGTGGGGCAGCAGGAAGGCCGTGGGGTGACCCGAAGGCCAGGGTGGGTGGAGAGCCCTGGCGTCTAATCCCTTGTGGGTGCCTCACAGGTGGATGCCGCCCTGGTTCGGCTGCTGGATCGGTACCGCGGCCCTGAACCCTCTGACACTGTGGAGATGTTTGAGGGTGAGAAGTTCTTTGCGGCCTTTGAGCGGGGCATTGATGTAGATGCTGGTAGGTCTCGCCTCTGTGGGGGGAGGGGCACCGGGGTGTGGCACTTTGGCTCCACCCACTGAGTTCGCCCCGACTCTGCAGACCGTCCAGACTGTGTGGACGGCAGAATCTGCTTTGTCTTCTATTCCCACCTGAAGAATGTAAAGGAGGTGTACATTACCACAACCTTGGACCGGGAAACTCAGGCTGTTCGAGGCCAGGTGGGTTGGTGTGTCAGGGTCTTGGACTGAGGTACCTGGATCCGAGGCCAGAGCTCTGAACCCCACCTGATCCTTCCCCAGGTGTCCTTTTATCGAGGTTCACTTCCCGAGGAGGTGCCTCAAGAGGCTGAGGCTGCCCGGCAGAGGAAGGGTATCGATGCACTGTGGATGGCCACCTTGCCCATCAAGCTACCGGTGAGGCTTGAGCCGCATAAGCTGACAGGAGGAGACAGGAGTCCCAGGGTGACCAAAGACAAAGAGAACGGGTACAAGCTTACTGTATCCTTGCCTCCTGACAGAGACTCCGGGGGCCCCAAGGGAGTGGACAGGGGAATGACTTCTCCCTGATGCCTCTAAACCTGGGTGATGCAGAAACCGGTTTCCTGACTCAGAGCAATCTGCTGAGTGTGGCCTCACGCCTGGGTCCTGACTGGCCAGCCGTGGCTCTGCACCTAGGCATGCCCTACCGTGAGCTACAGCGTATCCGGCATGAATTCAGGTAGGCCTCTGTGAGTTCTGGTGAACCTCCTGCCTCTCAGCCTCAGCTTCAGGGCTGACACTCACCCCACCCCTCATCCCCTCGCACTAGCTGAAAACTTTCAAAGAGATGGAAATGGAGCAAATATCAGCCTAGAAAAGGAGAGTCTGGGCACTGGCCTGGCCCAAGGAAGTTTGTTTTGAGATATACTGAGCCTCTGTGTGTATTTCTGGGCAAAACACCTTCATGGCCACCTTCTTCCCCTCCAAGGGATGACCTGGATGGGCAGATCCGCCACATGCTCTTCTCCTGGGCTGAGCGCCAGACTGGACGGCCAGAAGCTGTGGGAAACCTGGTAAAGGCCTTGGAACAGAGCGACCGGCAGGATGTGGCCGAAGAAGTGCGTGCCATCTTGGAGCTTGGCCGCCACAAGTACCAAGATAGCATCCGGCGCACAGGGCTGGCCCCAGAGGGTTCCAGTCTGCCTGGCACCTCAGCTTCACAGTCTGCCCAGGCCTAGGCTTACAGGCTTATGCTGGCCTTTGACTTGACTTGGCCAGTGGGCAGGGCCCATATCCTTCTACCTCGCCTGTGTGGTACAGTGCTCAGGCATACAAAGACTTGTCGCTGTTTAGAAAGCTTGGTTCGTTACTTACTTTTTGAGACAGGGTCTTACCGTCTAGCCCAAGCTAGCTTCCAACTCTTAGAGCACCTCAGAGATTGATGTACTTGAAGTGATCTGAAGCCAAGTCCCTGTGTGTGTCCGTACTTCCTACCATGATGGGGCAAAGGGGCTGGAGAGATGGCTCAGCGGTTAAGAGCGCTGTGCTCTTCCAGAGGTCCTGAGTTTGATTCCCAGCAACCACATGGTGGCTCACAACCATATGTGATAGAATCTGATTTTCTCTTCTGGTGTAGTGACGTTCACAGAGAGAAAGAGCAGTTAACAGCACTGACTGGTCTTTCAGGGGAACCAGTTTCAATTCCCAGCACCTACGTGATGACTCAAAACAGTCTGTAATTCCAGTTCCAAAGGATCAGAACCCTTCCTCTCGCCTCCGCAGGCACCAGGCACACATACGGTGCAAACATGCATGCAGGCAAAACAAAATAAATAAAATAAAAGCTACTTACTGCGTGTGTGTGTGTGTGTTAACTTTGCAGTTAACTTTGCAGAGATTGTTCTCCCCTTCCATGTGGGTCCCCAGTGATGAAACCGGGGTCACCTGGCGTGGTTGCAAACACCTTTACCCCGTGAGCCATCTGTAGGCCCTCAAGTGTGTGTTTCCCAGGAGGAGCCATTCTACATAGTAACCCTGCAGTAGGTTAGGATACAAAGTCACCTATGTGACAGAATGGTGCATAAGCCCTGCCCACCAGGGTCTTAACGGAGCATCTATCTTAAAGCTCTGGGACCAAACCTCCCCCAGGTCACCCCATTCTGCCATCTGTTCTAGGTCCCTATCCTCGATTGAGGGGGCCAGACAGCCTAGGGAAAGACCTTCCCCTCAAGGGTGGCCTGAGGCTGTGGCTGGTGTCGGTGGCCACGCCGGCCAGGAGGGGGAGCCTATGACAGTAAGGACTTAGGGCGGAGCGGGCGCGCCTCCGAGAGACGCGCCTCCCCGCCTAGGTGCAGGCCCCGCGCGCGGCACAGCGGGGAGGCGATCCCGGCGGCGGCCGTGTGGTGAGTGCTTAGCCGGTCAGTTCTCGTGGCGTCCACCCAAACATGGCTTGGGTTGCGGGGAGAAAAAGGGAGGCGTTGGTGGCTGGGAGAGGTGACATCTGCTCAGACACAGCGGCTCCGGGGGAGCCGGGACCGGCGGGTACCTCGACCGGCTGTGGAAGGCCGTGCTCAGTCCCGGCTCTGCCGGGCGCGCTCCCCGCGCACACGTGTCCCAGCAGTGTGGAAGCTCCAGAACTGAGGCTGGAGTCGTTTTTGCTGAGGATGGGGGCTCCTCACACGTGGGAACCCACTGGCCTTGCGTGGGCGCGGTACATGGTCAGAGTCCGCATCGTTTGGCTGGAGATAGCGAGGCCGGCTGAGCCCCGACCGTAGGGTAAAGGGCATGGTCAGGCCTGGAGCAGAGGATGTGCCCCAATCCTGGTTTCCCTTTATACCTCGCTGTGGAGCCCTCTCCCTTCTAGCTTGCAAGGCAAAGCTAACCTCCCTAAGAGGAAGGGGGGAGAGAGACTGGCTGCGGGGGGGAAGGGGGGGGACGCTGGTGGCTGGGTTTAGCCCCAGCCTAGTTTCTTTTTTCTTTTCTTTTTCTTTCTTTTCTTTTTTTTTTTTTTCCCTAGACAGGATCTCTCTGTGTTGCGCTGGCTGCCCTGGGACTCTCCGTAGACCAGGCTAGCTTCGAACTCACAGAGATCCACCTACCTGCCTCTGCCTCCCAGGAGCTGGGGTTAAAAAGAGGGAGTCACCAGCAGGATACAGGCATCTTCATTCATGGAAAGTCAGGAAGATGCTGTATGAAGCTGTTAGCCTCTGTAGGCTAACCTGATCTTTGTCAGTCGGCCTGTGGCTAGACTGGGGAAGGCTGAGACAGCTAGACAGAAAGGGCTGGATTCTCAGTGGCTTGACTGGATAGTCAAGTTTCTATGGTAACACCAGATAGTGCTGAGGGGTCCCTGACGGCTGTCTCAAACTGATGAGAGTTAAAGAACACACCAAAAAGGAAAAAAAAAAAAAAAAAGCCTGGTGTGGTGAGCACATGTCTTTAATCCTAGCACTCAGGAGGCAGAGGCAGGCAGATCTCTGACTTTGAGGCCAGCCTAGTCTACAGAGTGAATTCCAAGACAGCCAGGGCTGCTGCAGAAAAAAAAAACAAACTAAGAAACAGGAACAACATAACCTAAAACCAAAAAACAAGCACTAGGGATGTGGAGGGAGAGAAAAGCCCAGAGGGTTCCCTTTGCCTGTTGTTCCGGGCAGCAGAATCCATCACTCTCAGCCGGGCAACTGTGCTCTCTGTTTTGTTTAGGTTTGGGTCCAGGGCTGACTCAGCCCTAGGGATCTCAGTGCCTGCCCGGCTCTTCCCTGGGCTTCAGATGGTCTGTCTGACTCCCAGGACACATGGGACACCCAGGTGCCCAGATCTCAGATATTAGGGGAGGGAGGTAGCGTCTGAGGGACAGCAGGCTTACTCTTCCTGAGGGCAGAGGCAGAGGGAAGGACGGCTCTTCCGCTAGAGACCAGGCCGAGCAGGGAGAGGCTGCTGTAGCTAGTTTATGTTTAGAGGATGGTATGGGGAAGGACTACAGTTCAGAGGTCAGGCCCGCGCCACACGCCAGGGTTAGGGGGTGTGACAGGTACTCTTCCACTGAGGCCCCTGTGCAGAGGTGGAGCAGAGGGCAGAGGGCAGAGGGCGCCCCCATGCCCTCTGGACCTGCCAGGTGAGCAGAGCCTGTGCTTGGCAGTGGTGGTTTTGAAAGTCAAGCATCCCTTCCTTGCTCTTTCCAGAGAACGGGTATACCTTCTTCTGATAGGTATACCCAGGTCTCACAGCACAGTGGGTATTGACCCATTTCTCAAGAGCATAGGTTGACAGATCCATATCGGGTGCCCCCTGCCCTAGGGTTCCTGGGCTTTATCCCGTAGCCTGCAGACAGAAACCTACTGAGTGATTTGAGAACATGGTGGCCCCCGGGGCTGGGGTACCTCTGCATAGGCAACCTGGTTCTCAGGGTTAGTCCGTCCCTTCCTTAGCACTCAGGCTGAGCCCAGCCCCAGGGCCCCAGAAATTGTCTCAGCCCCCTTCCTTTTCCCAAAGCTGCAGAGATTACCCTCTAGCCCAAAGTGAAAGAGAAAGTCCACCCCCCCAGGCCCGCCCCGCCCCGCCCCTCAGCCAATCCCTGTAGCCTTTCGCCTCCTCCCCCTCGGCAGTCTCTTTATCTCCTCAGTGAGCATACTTGTCGGAGCGGTGGAGAAGCAGTTGTATGCACACTGGCTGGGGTGCACACAGGGTGAGCAGGACCCTGCGGATTGTGGGGGTAGAGGTGGGGAATAGGTCGTTTGGGGGCTCTTTAGTGTGACACAGCCATGAGACCCCATATGGCGGCACTGAGGACAGTAGCTCCTGTGTGACAGCTGACTTCTGAGGGCTCAGGAAGAGACCCAGGGGAGGACCCAGGACTTGTTTTTATGACTGGCTCCCTCCTGGGAGCCCCCTGAGGTTGGCTCTTGAATTCCCATCCTTGCTGCAAATAGAAGAGCCCGTTCTCTCCCACTCAAGGAATGGGGTATACCAGCCACAGATGCTGGAGGAGACAGACATCCCTCTGCTTCCTTCTTCATGCCATTTAATCCCATCATCTCTTACCCAAGTCCTTATCCCTAGGCTCCTTTGTCCGTCAGGAATGAAACACTCCTTTTAGGAAGTAGACAGGAAGCTGGGCAACCAGCTCGGTACGAATGGGAATCTTGCTTCTTTATGGGAAGGGGCTCCGTGGCCCACAGTGAGCTGCCATGGAACTGGCTCTGCTCCACCACCGAGTAGCTCCACAAAGGAGAACCCACCCCCGCCCCGTGCATCCCACTGAAAATAGTATATGCTAGCTGCCTCTGTTTAAGGATGGGAACCGGTTATCACTGCTCAAACCCAGGGTCCAAGTACCACTGCATTAAAAGGCACCTGGCCCTTTAAAAGCTGGAGCTTGCCTTCTGTGCGTGAGCATATGCGTGTGAGCGTGAGTTCCTGGCTGCCTGGGAGGACGCCACGGGGAGGGCATCGAAGGGAAGCCAGGTGGCCCCAGGGATGGGCGGCCTCCCTTTCTCCCTCCAACCACCCTCCACTGTATCCCCAAGGCACCTTGATGGCTGCAGCCTGGAGCCTGGAGTCTAGGGAGTGAGGGGCTTCATGACCTTGTGAGACGGTGGGTGGGTGGAGAGGCTTCTTTCTCTGACAGACCCCTTCCACCACTCATTCTGTCCTTTCTTTCAGGTGGCAGAAGTCTTGAAATTGCTCTGAAGGTGAGGACATCCCCTCCCCCACCAGCAGCCGCCAGCCACCCACATTGTCCTCACCAGCCCCTCCCCATCAGTGCCTCCACTTACATCGCCCGGCCTGAGTCAGCCTCCTGCTTCACTTGGTGTAAATGGCTGATAAGCAGATCAGGTCAGAGAGACCCCAAGCCTTTGGTCTTGGCTTCCACCCCCTCCCCAGCATGACCTCCCGACCCCCCTGTCCTGTGGTTGAGGATGTGAGTCCTGACACTTGACCCTGCCTACACAGCCTGCCGGCCAAGCTCATCAATGGTGGCATCGCTGGGCTAATCGGGGTCACCTGCGTGTTCCCCATCGACCTGGCTAAGACACGGCTGCAGAACCAGCAGAATGGCCAGCGCATGTATGCCAGCATGTGAGTGAGTGAGAGCTGGAGAGGCGGGATGTGGGTGCAGCTTCCACTTTTGATCTCTGCTGCTGTTTGATCAAGGGGAGACAGGGTAGGACAGGCCTGAGGAAGTTCGTATCCCTGACAGAGTTTTTGGCTTCTCTGTGGGCCCTGGATGATTATACTGGGCAGAGGTGGTGCTGGCTGCCCTTGCCTGACTCAGGGCCAGGGTCCAGCTGGCCACTGCTTATTGCCATCCCCTTGGCTACAGGTCTGACTGCCTCATCAAGACCATCCGCTCTGAGGGCTACTTCGGCATGTACAGGGGTGAGGCTTGGGATGGGCAACAGACGGGTCTGGCAGGGAGCAGGGGCAGGGGTGCATGCCTGGGCTCGGTCTGAGTGTGGACATGGCGTGTGGTGTGGTAATACCTGAGCACAATGGGGGCATCTGTCAAGCTGGGGGAATTGAATGTCTGAGGGGGACAGTCTTCTGAAGGTCTCAACCCTCACCTGCTACAGCAGGACAGGGTTTTTTTTCCCTCTATCCTAATGGCTCACATCTCCTCCATTATTCTCTGTGACAGGCAGGACCACATCTGCGCCTACAGCCTAGGGCAGGAGCCATTACACAAAGCAGCTTAGGAAACAATCCCTGAGGGTGGATTTGCCCAGATGCTGTGTGGCCCTGAGCCCTGAGCAGCCACCCACAGCCTTTCCCTGAGCCCTGACCCACACTGTGGTCCTGCCAGTGGGCACACCTGTCCCCAGGAGGGAGGCACACTGTAGCCTCTGGG